AGATATGGGACATTGGAAATTTGATACTTGAGGGATCTGGGACATTGGAAATTTGATACTTAATAGATATGGAACATTGGAAATTTGATACTTGAAAGCTATGGAACAGTGGAAATTTGATACTTGAGAGCTATGGAACATTGGAAATTTGGTACTTGAGAGATATGGGACATTGGAAATTTGGTACTTGAGAGATTTGGGACATTGGAAATTTGATACCTGAGAGCTATGGGACATTCGAAATTTGATACTTAAGAGATATGGGATATTAGAAACTTAATACTTGAGGTATCTGGGACATTGGAAATTTGATACTTGAAGAATTTGGGAAACTAGAAATTTGATACTTGAGTGATTGGACACATTGGAAATTTGATACTTGAGAGCTATGGGACATTCGAAATTTGATACTTGAGAGATATAGGACATTGGAAATTTGATACTTGAGAAACATGGAACATTGGAAATTTGATACTTGAGGAATATGGGACATTGGAAATTTGATACTTGAGAGATATGGGAAATTGGAAATTTGATACTTGAGAGATATGGGACATTAGAAACTTGATACTTGAGAGATCTGGGACATTAGAAATTCGATACTTGAGAGATATGGGAAATTGCAAATTTGATACTTGAGGGATCTGGGACATTGGAAATTTGATACCTGAGAGCTATGGGACATTGGAAATTTGATACTTGAGGAATATGGGACATTGGAAATTTGATACTTGAGAGATATGGGAAATTGGAAATTTGATACTTGAGAGATATGGGACATTAGAAACTTGATACTTGAGAGATCTGGGACATTAGAAATTCGATACTTGAGAGATATGGGAAAGTGGAAATTTGATACTTGAGGGATCTGGGACATTGGAAATTTGATACCTGATAGATATGTGACATTGGAAATTTGATACTTGAGGAATTTGGCACATTGGAAATTTGATACTTGAGAAATATGGGACATTGGAAATTTGATACTTGAGAGATATGGGACATTGGAAATTTGATACTTGAGAGATATGGGACATTGGAAATTTGATACTTGAGGAATATGGGACATTGGAAATTTGATACTTGAGTGATTGGACACATTGGAAATTTGATACTTGAGAGATATGGGAAATTGGAAATTTGATACTTGAGAGATATGGGACAGTGGAAATTTGATACTTGAGGGATATGGGACATTGGAAATTTGATACTTGAGGAATTTGCAAATGTGGGAATTGTATATTTGATAGACTCAGAAATTTGGCAATTTGGAAATACATAGACATAAAAATTTTTTGAAAGTAGAAACCCAGATCCTGATATTTCTAGATTTTGATATCCCTAAATTCTTATATCTTTTATTACCAATATCCCTAGATTCCAATAATAATATCCTTGACTTCCAGTATTAATATCCCTAGGTCCTATCATCAGTATCCCTAGGTCCCACTGTCAATATCCTTAGGTCCCAATATTTAATGACCCTAGCTCCCAGTATCCAGTATTAATATCCTTAGACCCCAGTAGTAATATCCCTAGAATTCAGTATTAAAGTAGGTTCCAATATTAATATTCCTGCGTCCCAGCATCAATATAAACGAAACTAAATTCCCAAATCCCTACATCCCCACCTAAATTCCAAACTTCTCAAGAATCCCTAAAACAAAATATTTTCTTTCCTTTCTCACCTTCTCTTCCAACTACAAAATCTAAAAACAGTAAACCCAATAAAAGAACCGCAAAAATTCAACGACCCACTGACAAGTCTGCTATCTCCACTTACCTGCATAATGTAGTCGCGCCCTTTATGTTAGCGATCGTGACGGTCGTCTAGGCTGGAATATAAAGAAAAAATTCGCCGCGCGTGACAGGGATTTGAACAGATTCAAAAGTTTCCGAAATGGCGGGATATGTAACTATGGTTACTCGAGCAATTCCGGTAATGGAACTGCAGGGAACTCCAGCAGCGTTTCTGAACGGAAAATTGAACTTCCAGGCTGTGAGCCAACAACCCTCATCCGATAGTGTTTCATTTGTAACAAAAATCTTCTTTACTGGCCCTTGTACGGATTTTATTCAATCGCGCGATCGAACTTTTCGTCCTTTGCTGTTACCGCTTCGTATTTCGTTAAAAAAATCTGCTATATCTGACCCCTGATCGAATATGACTGTTACTCGAGACTCCAACTTTCTCGTATCGAATCGAACTCGCAATCGAATTAATAAGTTTCCGTGCTTTAGTGCGCGGACTGGGATCTGATATCAAGATCAATTTTGTAACGAGTGTGGCTCTTGAATTGTTACGAAGTCGACGTAATCGGTTCATGGATTTCAAATATTTTATCGTTCGATTTTGTCATTATTTTATGCGTTTAATTATTTGTGTGTTAGAAGTTTATTTGTAGTAAACTATTTATGTAGAGGAAGTAGTATTTTAACTTTTTTAATGTAGATATGATTATTGAATTTTTAATATAAATTGTATAAAATATTATTGATATTAATTTTGTTTATCAATTTTTATTAATAGTGAGTATTTGTTAAAGTAAGTTTGACAAAAATTAGAAGAGTTTAATAAAAACATTGATTATTATTATGGTTCTGATGAAAACTGTGATGATCATGATGATATTGATGAAAATCATCATGATTATGATGATATTGATGAAAAGTATAATGATTACGGTGGTATTTATGAAAACTATGATGATTACGATGATATTGATGCAAATTGTGATGATTATGATGATATTGATGAAAATTATGATGATTGTGATGATGTTGATGAAAAGTATAATTATTACGATGGTATTGATGAAAACTATGATGATTGTGATGATATTGAGGAAAACTATGATGATATTGATGAAAACTATGATGATATTGGTGAAAATTATGATGTTTACGATGATGTTGTTGAAAAGTATAATTATTACGATGGTATTGATGAAAACTATGATGATTGTGATGATATTGAGAAAAACTATGATGATATTGGTGAAAATTATGATGTTTATGATGATATTGATGAAAGGTATAATGATTACGGCGGTATTGATGAAAACTATGATGATTGTGATGATATTGATGAAAACTATGATGATATTGGTGAAAATTATGATGTTTATGATAATGTTGATAAAAATCATTATGATTATGATGACATTGATGAAAACTATGATGATTATGATGATATTGATGAAAACTATTAGGATATTGACGAAAATTATGATGTTTATGATAATATTTATGAAATTTATGATGATTATGATGATATTGATGAAAAGTATAATGATTACGGTGGTATTGATGAAAACTATGAGGATATCGATGAAAATTATGATGTTTATGAAATTTATGATGATTATGATGATATTGATGAAAAGTATAATGATTACGGTGGTATTGATGAAAACTATGAGGATATCGATGAAAATTATGATGTTTATGAAATTTATGATGATTATGATGATATTGATGAAAAGTATAATTATTACGATGGTATTGATGAAAACTATGATGATTGTGATGATATTGAGGAAAACTATGATGATATTAGGAAAGTATGATGATTACGATGATATTGATGAAAAGTATAATAATTGTGATGTTAACAAAATCCCTAAACACCCAATTTCCCAAATTCCTAAATCCTGAAATTATTTGCACACCTAAAAATTCCGAAATTCCCCAACAATCCCTAAAGATCCCCAGAAATCCCCAACAATGGTTTCTTTTTCATCGTCGTTTTCAGTAACTGGCATAATGTGGACGCTCCCTTACACGTCGGAATTTTTTCCACCGACACACGGTGGTTAATCATCACCGCGAAAAATGTGTCTCGCACTGCAAACTAACCGGATCGTAATTGGCTAACGAGAGGGAAAATTACCAAATGGAACGTGACAACGTAATTTCTCGAACGTGTCGACTACCAGAACTAATAGAATTTTGATGAGACTAATGTTCTTGGAAACAAAAGGACCTAATTTGCTCGTACCCGGCAGCTGCCATAAAATCTCGCTTATGTAAATCACCATTTTTAATTAATATGCGCGTTTTACTACGGTTGCGTTACAACGCGTCGTTTGTTTAATTGTTAAATTTGCTTTTTTATCGTGGCATGTTTGAACATTTCAGAGCTTGTTTTATTTTGTGGCTTGTATAATTGCTTAATTTTTGGGGGGTGTTTTTAATATATTTTTAACGTTTTTAATTTTTGGAAGAGTAGTCTGAAAATTGGGTAGGTGGAAATAACAATAATAATAATTTCGAGATTTTAAAAAAACCTTGAAATTTTCATCTAGCCTACCTTCAATATCTAACTTAAATATTTCATCCCCTAAATAAAAATATTTAAATATATACTACTATATTAATTCCATTAATATTCCACTTCTTACATTTACTTCTGAATTTTCACAACAGTCAATAATAATTTACAATTACAATGAATTTATGCGTCGTTATTGTATTACAATCTACTGTTCTCCGTTAGGTAACGATTTAGTTACACACACGCGAATAATTTCAATATTAACACTTTGTCATATTACTCCTCTTCGATAGGAAGTGCATATTAAATTTGCAGATGTACTATTGATACAGAGTGCCGGTATTAAATCCAGGAAAATTCACGTTTATGGCAGATGCACAAGTGTAAGAAGCAATAAACCATGTTAGAAATATATCGCCATACAAAGATACAAAACATTGTGATGCATATATTGAAGCTGAAGTGTCATCGATAACGTGAACAGTATTATTTCCCCTAGAAATTCTCATATCTTTGAAAACGCTCCTTTTATTCGCAAATCATATAAACTTGAGTGTGAAACTTGTGTTTAAGTCTCATCTCGCTGTCACATATATTTAACATATGCATACATATGTATATAACGCACATATCGTATATTAAATATATGTTATACAGATGTTATACATACATGTGTTACGTACATATGTTATAAATACATGTGTTACATACATATGTTATAAATACATATGTTACATACATATGTTATACATACATGTGTTACATACATGTGTTACATACATATGTTATAAATACATGTGTTACATACATATGTTATAAATACATGTGTTACATACATATGTTATACATACATGTGTTACATACATATGTTATAAATACATATGTTACATACATATGTTATAAATACATGCGTTACATACATATGTTATACATATGTTACACATATTTTATATCATACGTACGTATAACATATATTTAATATACAATATACGATAATCTACGACTTAACAGATGTATATTTAATATACTATTTTCTTTTACAATATATTTTTCTTCTCGCAAGTCCCAATTGTCAAGGGATAAAATAATTTTAGCGCGATATAAATATAATAGTTTCATTCGTTCATCCGGAATATCTCCTCTTGCATCACCGCTCTGAACCGACGAAGTGCTTCAACATCGTTTATACGACTCTGATTGCCGCTGAAGATATTCCACAAAGATTTTCAAACATTCAAACTTTTCTGATTCATTACGAAGAAAAGTTTCTTTAGAATTTAAATGTCTTTTGCACTTTTCGGTAGGCAGGACTTTAGGGTAGGAACTAATGCGAAAGGAAGATCTCCCATTTTAAGAGATCAGATATGCAGAGTTGAAATTTTGAGATTATAAAACTATAATCTTCCATCGTTCACTATAAATCATCATACTTAACAATTTTCAAATTTAAGAAAAAATTTAAAAATTAAAAATTTGAAAAGTTTCTAACATCTCAAAATTCACATAAAGTCACCATAAAACCTTGAAATCAACATAGCCACCAACAATATCTCGAACTAATCATACACTTCACTTATCCGTTTATCATCCAATCCCTCAAGATTCCACAAGGGTCACGCAATTTCGACGTTACAGTAATCGTTTATATCGCAATTTAATTACACCATCGATCAAAAGGCGGCTCTCAACACCTCGCAATCGCATCACGAAAGCGACTCCACCTCCCGTTTCGCGAACGTTTCCGTAAACGTGGCGATATTTTTCGAGTTTCCTCGAAATCGCTAGCTCGACGACGAATCCACCCTTCCGTACGGTTTATTCCGCCATTTTTATCGTCGTATCTCGACGGGGTTGCTCGCGTTTCCGGTTTCTTCTATCAGCTGTTATAACCGGCGGCGTTTTCTATCCTCTTGTTTCCACCTGCTCGTGTACCGATGCCAACCCACGAGTTGAGCTATGACGCACTCGTGACGCATTCGCAGTTCAAATATTGTCAATTTTTCTCGTATTTTTGGTACGCGCGAATTTTCAATTTAGGCGTAATAATTTACGTACGGATGTCAACCCACGAATTGGCGCGTGAGGACCCAAAATAAAAGAAGCTCTATCCCCACCGTGAACACTTCCAGCGTTACATACAGGCGCATAAGAATAATAATGACAATAACAACTGCTGAACGCAATTCGCGCTATCTCGCTCACTCGAGAAACGTTTGCCGACTGTCACTGTTTTTCGCCTAATTGCGTGACCACGAGAGCCAATTGTTCCGCCGAAAATACGTGAGGCCATTTTTCTATTCTGACCAATGGAAGACGTGGCTCTTCACGTTAGCCGCGCGCCAACTCGTGAGTTGACATCGGTAGCTTCCATCGTCGCGTGCATTCCCGTTGATCTAACTCGCTTCAAAACTACCCCTCGTATCTTACACATACTTACATACAGAAACCGAGGGTCTGCTTAGCCGTGGCTCCGCTGATTTATACCGAAGAACGGATGCACGGAAGAGTATCAAGGCAGAAAGCTGCGCAACGAATGCGTATTTCACGCAGCCACGTGGTGACAACGGAAAGGGTGCTTTTATTAACGGTTTTATGGTTTTATGGCTGTTAAAATTATTTTGCTGAGACTTTGTGACGGAACTTGAGATATTTGGATCAAAAGTTTTAACAATCGGAGATTCCAATATTCCAGAATTGCAAAATTCCAAAATTTCAGAATATCAAAATTCAAAAATGTCCAAATTCCCAAATTTCCAAATTCCCTAGACCACCAATTCCTAAATTCTCAAATTCCCTAGACCTACAATTCCTAGATTCCCAAATTCCCTAGATCCCCAATTCCAAAATTCCCAAATTCCCCAAACCCCAAATTCCAAAATTCTCAATTCCCAAGATCTCCATTTCCTGAGTTCTTAAATTCCCTAGATCCCCAATTCCCAAATTCCTAAATTCCTTAGATCCCCGATTCCTAAATTCCCAAATTACCTAGACCTCCAATTCCTACATTCCCAAATTCCCTAGACTTCCAATTCCAAAATTCCCAAATTCCCCAAACCCCAAATTCCAAAATTCTCAATTCCCAAGATCTCCATTTCCTGAGTTCTCAAATTCCCTAGATCCTCAATTCCCAAATTCCTAAATTCCCTAGATTCCCGATTCCTAAATTCCCAAATTCCCTAGACCTCCAATTCTTAGATTCGCAAATTCCCTAGATCCCCAATTCCAAAATTCCCAAATGCCCAATTCCCAAGATATCCATTTCCTGAATTCTGAAATTCCCTAGATCCCCAATTCCCAAATTCCTAAATTCCCTACATCCCCGATTCCTAAATTCCCAAATTCCCTAGACCTCCAATTCCTAGATTCTCAAATTCCCTAGATCCTCAATTCCAAAATTCCCAAGATCTCTAATTCCTGAATTCTGAAATTCCCTAGATCCCCAATTCCTTAATTTCTAACTTCCCTAAACCCCCCATTCCAAAATTCCCAAATTCCAAAATTCCAAAATTCCAAAATTCCAAAATTCCAAAATCCAAAATTACAAAATTACAAAATCCCAAATCCCCATCTCCCAAATAACAAAAATCATCGCAAACATTATTGCAAGAGTGTTTTCACTTACCCAGAAATAAACGAGGTGTTACAAAGTTTGCGCAAATAGAATTGCAAGGTATTAATGAAATGAGAAAAGTTTGAAGAACTTCAACCGTGATGTCGCTCGAAGTAGTTTCAAGTAATAAATGTCAGTAAATAGTCAGCCAGAGATTGCTACTTACTATAATACTCATCCCTTACAAAGTATTCCGAAGCTTTTCATTACAAGCTCAAATACGACGCACACACAACTCTTCACATCTCCGTGCTTCGCACTGTTTTTAAACAAATTTTAGATCACAGTAGTAGTTCACAATAGTAACGCAATAACAAAATTCGAATGAAAACTCCGTCCATATTACCAGCAAAGTTGCCCAAAATTGAACTGCCCGTTAACAGAAAATCGCGTGAAAAACTCAGCGTGCGTTTACGGAACGTCCTCGGCAAAGTTCCCTCTGGAAATTCGGAATTAAACCCGAACAAATACCTGACAAAAATTCCGGCTAAACACGCCGAAATAATTCGCGGCGTATAATTGAACGTATATTAAATTTTTCGCGAATTTTGTGAAGCGAATATTTGAAATGAAAACTGTACCTCTGTTCCTTTGCAAACCGCACGCGTAATATGCATCCGTTTACAACGGGAACATGCACTCCGTGTTCGCGTATTTCTATGCGTTTAAAACAGAGCTGACAA